ACACATCCCTTTATTTTTTTTTAACACTTAACAATAACCACCCTCAACTTATAGATTTCTCTCGAGTTATGGTGCATATTGTCCTTGTAAGGACCAGAGCCATTATTAAGGTAATCTCCAAGTTGGCCACCTTCAACTTAGGCTTCTAACCTTAGTCGAAGTGCACAGTGTCCAAAGGACCGGGGCAATCACAGGTTTAGGAACTTATAGGGCATCATTTTTCCTACCTCTTTTCTTTCTTCCCGACAAAACAAAGCATTTCCACCCTATTTAGTCTCACTGCTATTTTCCATTTTTTCATCTTAACATAGTGTATTAGGGATTACTTTGGGATAAAAAATGAATGTATCAATGAAAGGGGTTTGGCTAAATTACATAGATTAGAACTAAATCAAGGCAAACAGGTTCCTGAAAAGGCTAACCTTCACATGACAAAGCAAAGAAGACTTGTTATAATTTTTTAAGCAAAGCAATACTTTCATTTCGCTTCAATAACATATCGGGCAAGTTGTAGACTCACATGCATTACATGTGCCTCACCCTCATGGCACACCCTCATGGCACATGTTCTACTCAAGATGGATCAATCACAACAACAGAATCAGTTTATGCACAAGGTTCTATTTGAGCTTAAGTTGCGGTCATTAAAGCCAAATACAAGAATTCAAATGCATTCATACATCAACTTCCATTCATGCTTTCATACAGTCTCCTTTCGAAATTTCAAGCTTCAGGACATACCAACCTAAGACTCAATGACGAAAATTGCCCTTAAGACAGTCGTCATCCATCTGTCATTGGGCAATGCAACTCAGCCACGACGATTGACTCAATCCTAAAACTACAATTTTTATTTTTTTATTTTATACGGTTCAAAGGGACTTTCCTTGGTCAAAGAACCGAAAATAACCTCCAAGGAGCCCAAAAAAAACAATAAAAAAAGACGGACATAGACACTACCCGTGTTCAGAGATAATTTCACCCTCACCCCACACTTAAACATTAGCACTGTTCACAGTGCTTCACGAAATCACAGAAGTTAGTATAGAGGTAAGGGGCGAAAACTCCAAAATCCAAAACGTTGGTTTTTCTTCCTCTCCTTTCAGACACTCCCAGATCAAGTCCTCCATAGTATCTCTGCCGTTCGCCTTATCACCGGCCTGAGTAGGGTCTACCTCCTCATCAGAATCTGACTCCATATTTGAGCTAGTGCGCATCTCTCCTCATCGATCAGGATGTTATCGTCCATCGACTCATGAAAAGCAGGACCAATGCCAAGCAAGGCCTTAACATGTGCATTCAACTGGTACCTTCTCTCGACGTCCCTAGTTGCACATCAACCGATGCCTGACAACCATTTTGGTAACGCAACATCTCCAGCCCATACATCTTGGCCATGATCAGCTCATCAAGTCTATGGCGCTCCATGGTAGTGAATATTGGGCCGAGCTCAGTGTTGGGCCCCTTAGTGTTCGTGATATCTACCAACGCTGGGAATATTGGTTCCATGTAGTCCAAATGCTCCTCCAGTAAACCTGCAGCATGACAGAGTCTAGTAATGAGACCACCAAATGCATACATGCACCTTTTATGGACCCGGGCCTTCCTCATTGCCGATTACAACATAGCCCCAATGTTCAACTCTGTGGGTGACACACTCTGTCCCGGGTGATGTTCGTGTAATGTAGCCCAGGTATCAAACAGTTCATCACCATTTTGAGCCAAATCGAGCCTTCCCGAGCATGTGTGCATAGGGTAGAGATTGAAAATATCTCTTGCCGCTGTGTTTTGTCCACTGCACCATGGACTGAGGTCCCAAAAGAGTGTGTCGAATGGCCCGGTAAGCTGGGCAGATGTTCAGCCCTGTAGCACAAGTGGATCGGCATCCGATGATGTTCCAATAATCTCATTGCGAACCGCATGAGTGAGAGTCACATCCACTCCCCGCACCTTTACAAAATTGGATTGGGACTCCGTTGCCCAATTGGCTTAGAACTCACGAACCATGTGCAAGTTGCACTCACTCAGTTCTGCAAAATGAACTCCATGTGCAACTCTTGGATCCGAAAGATAAATTTCCGAACATATACTCTGTCAACTAATCAACACTCCAATATTGAACAGTGCTGAGAGATGAATGAGCTAAAGGAACTACTTGACAAACTAGAAACTAGTGAAGTTAATCCTCAATTAGAGATGAGTTGCTATAGGAGGACTCAAAAAGTGGGACATTCACTATGAAGAAGGGATACTCACAACTCTGATCCAACAAGCAGTTGATAGACAAGTGGACATGCACATTCACTAAAGTGGCTTGTTTCTGGTGGATGGACTTATAAAGAAGCTTGCTTAACTCAAGACAACCATAGGGAAGAAGCATTCAGATAGTGAACAGGTGTTACATGTGTAATTAGAGTCTGAAAGTGTGAGACACCATTTCCTACATTTTACAGCAGCAAGAGATATGTGAAGTGTGTTCTTTCCTAATTTTTTAGTACCTCAGGTCATGCCTTACAGTAATAAGGAAGCATATGAAACTGGTGTTCATACTTCATGGAAAGTTGGTATTCCCTCAAAAACTTGGTTGATGGTGGCATGCTACAATTTTCGGTGCATTTAGAATGAAAGAAATTGGAAATGTTCTGATAGTGTCTCAACTCCAAATTATGCACTCTAGCTTAGTTTATTTAGTTCACTCAATCAGGCACTGTATCTAGCTGTGATCACTTTATGGTTTGTGTTTGCTTATGTGGTAGACTAGTTTTTGTATCATAGCAGACGCTCTCTCTCTTTGATGTAACTTTTGCCTGCATTTGTTGATGACTTTTTGATGAAATTTCTCTTCATTAGGAAAAAAAAAGTAAAAAATACCCTATAGATGAATTTTGTTCAGCTCAGGGTAGTATCTTGTTCCTTATCTTTTGGTGTACCATAAGAGTCCTTTATGTTTATTAGATTGAGTATTGTATGTAGAGGACCATCTCTTTTTGTAGGATTTCTATTTTTGGTGTACTTCTTGTATATGGACATGTTTTTTGCCCCAAACATTTGATAAAATTTATTACTGTATCAAAAGAATAAAAAATGACATACCCTATTATGTTAAAGAGTAAAAATTATTTTCTTTACAGGAACTTATACCAATATAGTAAAATAATATAAAGAAGCCTAATTGGGTTCCCAAGTTTATCTCGCTTTATCTATTGTTGTATGCCTGCTGATGTTCATTTTGATCTACAGAAGCGGCCCTAAGATTGCTACCTATAAGGTGACAAAATGCCAGAATCTGGGTCTTTTGTATGCTCTCTTTGTTCTCTTCCATCCAGTTGGGTGTTCACTAAAAGTGAAAAAATTTAATGACCAAGTTTGTAAGGTTCTTGTTGATTGTTCTGGCTAAACTCTGGAATAGATTTCATTTGCATTACAACCAATCTGGTAGACCAATAAAATAGTACACTTGTAATTTAGTTGTTCTCTTTAATTTTCTTTTGGTTTATTGAAGTGTACTTTTTGAGTCTCTCTCTCTGTGATGTTGCTACTCTGAATTAGGATGGATGATTGTCGTTGTCATTAATAAAAATTTTAAGTTACCAATCAAAAAGAATAGAAAACTTAGGTGATGTCTACATGGTCTTGACTATATTTAAAGATGTTCGGGAAAAAAAAAGTATAAACTTTTTACAGTGTATATTTTAAGATGTTTCTTTTTAGAGGTGATGACTGTATCTACTCATCACCAAAAAAAAAAAATAATCAACAACAACAACAACAAAGCAAAGAAGACCTTAGAGTACCAACTAGGAAATGTTGGTTCAGTATTTACAAATATGGTGCTAATATCATGATTCCTTTTGTGAAGATTCTTGCTAAATTGTTTCTGTTAATATTGATTGCGTTTGTCAGGTTCCTTGTGGTGCAGAAGCTGAGCAAAAACCTCCAAAATGTCGTAAATCATGTTGTGTAGGTCGCTTATGCAGGCACGCTTCTAATTGCAAGGTTGTATTTAGTGCATGTACTACTTATCATGTAACATGGTGATCATATGAACATCTTTTAATCCAACTTCTAGAGTGAAATAAAATACTGTTTAATGTGGAGCCTAACATGTGCGGTAATTTCTCTAGCCACATAGGTGTCACTATGGAGCTTGCCCACCGTGTCGTTTGCTTTGTGATGAAGAATATCCTTGTGGGCACAAGTGTGAATTGAGGTTTGCCTTCATTACATTTCTGGATATCTAATGTATACTCGTTCATTCATTAAATCTTTGTTGTTCGTTGATTGTAAGCAGGTGCCATGGCCCTAGGCCTCCTCCTCTTCCAGAATTCACTTTGAAATCAAAGAAAAAGAGACCGAACAATCAAATTGAACCTACGCCTGGTTCACCATGCCCTCCATGCCCACAACTTGTTTGGAGGTCTTGTTTGGGTAATCATGTAGGAGCAGAAAGAATGGTGGGGGTCATATTATCCTTAAATCATGGACAATACTTCCATTTACCTTTTGTTCATTCTCTTCAGGAGCTATTTATTCTTTAGTTTCTGTCAGAAGCTTCATATTTACTTGCCAACAAGAATTCATGTGAGCTCTTTCTTGTTTCAGATGGTCTGCTCAGACAGGGCAACATTTTCATGTGACAATCTGTGTGGAAATCCTCTTGCTTGTGGAAATCACTACTGCACTAATGTTTGCCATACCTTGGTTACTAGTACTTCAAAATTAGATAGTAGTAGTAGAGCCGAGACTTGTGAAAAGTGTACTCTTCCTTGCCAACAGGTATGAATAAATATTCTATCAATCTCATCTGTGCGTCTTACTAAGTTTTTCTTTGGGGCCAAATTCAACGATCAATACTTTCCATGACATATATACTGGCTCTATCAGTTTGATGTTGCATTCTTTATGAGTTGGAACTTTATAGTTAGTAGTTCAGGCATTGACTGTATACTTTTGTTGATCCTTATTTAGGAGCGGAGACCTACTTGTCCTCATCCTTGCCCCTTGTCTTGTCATCCTGGAGAATGTCCCCCTTGCAAAGCACTGATAAAACGTTCATGTCACTGCGGTTCCATGGTTCATGTATTTGAGTGCATATACTATAACAGCTTGTCAGCAAAAGAGCAGCTAACTGTTCGGTCATGTGGTGGACCATGCCATAGGTAGTTCATATACTTTGCTTGCTTTTCCTTCAAATCTAGCATCACCAGAAGCTATAATATCAATTTATAGATAGACTATATTTCTTATATCACCAAATAGCAAAAGAGGTATGCACCTTGATAGCTACAGCGGCTATTAGGCTTATCAACTTCCTTGTGCAACCCCTTTCCCCTTTTAGCTTTAAAAATGCTGAATTATGTGCATTTGCAATGCATCTGAAACTCCCTAACTGATCTCGATGAGCCCTTCTTTGTTTGGATGCCAAATGTGCAGAAAATTACCTAATTGTACGCACCTCTGCCCTGAAACATGTCATCCTGGTGAATGTCCATCTCCTGATCAATGCTCCAAGAAGGTAATTGATTGATGTACTATCTAAGTTAGTTATACTTCTTAATACTAAAGAGTTTATGTTCTTAGCATGTTGTTTTAAATCAGACATAATAGTACCTAAACCATATTTATTATTAAAGGAAGAAATCACGCCTTTCTCACCAAAGTGAATATCCTTTCAACCTTTTCTACTTTTAGTTGCCAAGGAGTCGAGGAGGGCATTTTACTGGTTCTGGAACATACAATACCCAGCCTTATATCCATTCTCTTCCAGACCTCTCTTCTGAGAGAGAGAGGGAGAGGGGGAGGGGAGGGAGAGGGAGAGGGCGAGGGCGAGGGGGAGAGGAAAGAGGAGGGGCAGGGGCAGGGGCAGGGAGAGACGTGCGTGATGTGTGTATCTATACGTGCAAGTATGTGTGCATGCATCTATGAAATAGAGCAAGGAGAAATAGAAAATGAAATCAAGAAATGTCTTTTCGCGTTTGGTACGTAAAGGGTGTAATTTCCATGATGCCTCCATACTAGGAAACATCATTTTCCTTCTCATTTTCTTTTACTTGCTTTTCTAGCCCAAGGAAGGATTTAACTTCAATATTGCCGGTGCATAACATTTTTCCCTCCACCACTTTCTTTGCCATGCTATCTTATCAAAGAATCACACCATTGGGATTTGATGGGCTTCATTCACTTGATTCCATTAAACATCCCACTAACAGGTGTTTACAAGTCATCTTTGTGAAAGCAAGTTGCCTGGATATGCCATTGCTTTCCATTAGCAGCTTCTTAATTGTGTTAGTCATCTATTGAAATTTAAGTAAACCACAAAAGGAAGGAAGTTCGATTTTGATTGTCAAGGAGAAAGGAAAAAAATGGATAAAAGAAAAGAGAGTGTTGATTTCTGTGAGAATAGTTACTAATATTTCAGTAAAAAAAGTTTTAACTTCTGTTAGCTCATCCAATACAACTAAACTCGAACTCGAACATGAAATTTTCTCCTAAGATAACTCTTGCTATAGGCACCCTTAACCCATATAACTAATTAGTGCAAATGTTAAATTGATTCTCTTTTCTGATTGATGGCATATAGTATGAGTTCTCAGTTGATCAGCCAGAAAAAGCCGACCCTATATCCCAGAAATGGTTCCATTTATTTTGTTTAACTTGCACTTTTTTCAATCTTTTCTCCATGTTCTATCCATTATTTTCTGATGAGCATGTCCCATCTACTGTTAATTTTTAATGAATCTTTTATTAGGTTAATGTTCGTTGTGGATGCCAAAGTTTCAAAAAAGAGTTGCTATGTAAGGATGTCCAAGCAGCCTATCGAAGTAGTGGTACTGATCCTAAAGATGTATCAAGAAACCAATATGGACTTGGCCTCCTCCCTTGCAATTCAGATTGCAGGAGCAAAATGAAAGCTTCTGAGGCAGAGTTGCAACATCGTAAATCAAAAGCTCCGGAGGTAAACCTCTATAATTCTCTAAAATGCTTTGTCGCATCTGCTGTACATTATCTTCTGGAGTTCAACAACATGAGGGTTACTTTCTTATCTTTGCGTTGAATAGTTTATTGACCCAAATAAGTAGTTGAGATTTAACTCAAATTTTCCTTGCACAGGAAAAGGAGCCAGAAACAAAAGATAATGCGACGAAGCGAAGACGGAGACGAGTACGGGTACTCGAAGACGAGAAAACTTCGACACTGCAGGTTTGTCTTAGAATTAATGATGCATCTGTTCTCCTTTCGAAGTTTTCAATTGATTAACTGCAGTTATTTTAACTTTGACAGAGCATTGTAGCTGGCATCAGGAGATTTCTTCTATTTGTTATCACTATAATAGCTCTAATTGCTTCAGTATATTTGGGTTATAAAGGCCTACAATGGCTTTCTGAACGGATGAATGAAGCTGAAATACAACGACAAAGAAGATACGCACGAACATAGTTTGACAAGATCAATTTTATTGGCTGATTTTCCAGGAGATGAAACATTCTTTTTTCATTTTGGATTTAGTTTATTTAGATTTAGTTCATATAAGTAGAACAGAAAACAGACATGTCCTGGTCTGACCAAGTTTTCTTTTTTCCCTTGCAATAATGAATTAGCTTTCGAGTTTGTTAAAAGTTACTTATAGGGTGGCAAAATCAGCCCATATAACCGTTTAGGTTTGGGTCTGATAGTGACTATCGAATTTTATTAGTTCAGTCCATTTTCACCCCTTGAATTTGGTCCATTTTAAAATTGATTTTTATGTGATATGTTACATGTAGTTATAAAAAGGGACAAGTTCTATGAGCTACTCAAATGAATTATAAGAACACAGGGGCAAGTTGGATGAAAAATCAAATGAAAGATGTCAAATAAGTCTTGGTTTTATTTTTGTTGACGGATTGACCAATAGCTGGTCATATTCTCTTTAAAATGTAATTGAGTAAATTTGGGATCAAATTAACATTTCAAAAACTTTATTTTTTATAAAATACAAAAAAACACTTCATTTTGAACTTCTATAATTCAATTCAAATCATTTCAAAAAAATCTTTTCATCTTCTCTCTTCTTCACCAAGCTTTCTCTCTCTCTTGTGTGCTTTTTCTTTTGTCTTTTTCAATCCGAAAATTCGACTAGATTATCTCCATTATCTTTCTCTTCCTTTTCGCATGTCTCCATTATTTTCCTCCTCATCTCCAGTCGTGACTCTCTTCTTTCAGAATTGAAATCATGATCGACTGAAAATGTGTAAGTTATTTTCAATTTTTTTTTCTTGGATTAATGAACGATAAAACGTTCTGTAGATGTAAAAATTGAATAAGGATGTGATGGTGCCTATTATTTTTTTTTTGAAAGACAATCAACCAACCCCAAAAAATTCTAATTTTGAGGAAATATACATGTATTATTAATATTCAGTGAAAAGTCATTTTTTGTTGTTTTTGTTGTTTTTTTATGGTCATTTTGTTGATATGATTTTAGAAATATAGTCTTGTTCAGTTGTCCAACGTATATTTCGTTTGTTGAAAGATGTATCATATGTTGCCACATTTTAGTGATATGTTGGTGCATATTCCAACATTCATCATATGTTGTAACATCTCACTTATGCGTTAGGGCAACAAAATGGTTAACTGTGGCAACTTACGATTCATCTGTGGCAACAAAAAGTTCATTCGTGGCAAAAATAGGTACGTTTGTGTTAACATATGCTTCTTCTGTGGCAACATAAGATTTATATGTGGAAATAAAAATTTCTTGTGTGGCAACAGTAGATACATATGTGGCAACATAATATTAATTTATAGCAACAGACTATCCATCTGTGGCAACATAATATTAATATTATTTTATAATGAATTATAAACTCTCAATCTTTTTTTATTAACATTGTAGATGAAATTATATAAAAAGCTTCATTCATGACAACTACTCAATCTTTTATTGGTCTTGCTTCCTCTTCTAACATCAAATACTCTTTTTGTCTATGCGAAGAATGTGAGAAACAACATGATTATTTTATTATATGTGTTAAAAAATTTACTGATATTTTTAAGAAAATGTCTCATAATATTGATGTCCAAAGATCTAAGAAGATTTCACAGCATTTGAAGTGTAGGAGCTTGAAAAAATTTATTTCACAAACACTTTCTGTAATTAGTGATAACAAAGAGAAGGATAAGAAGGTAAAGGAGGAAAAGGATAAGAAGGAAAAGGAGGAGAAGGAGAAGGATAAGAAGAAAGAGAAGAAGAAAGAGAAGGAGGAGATGGCACTCTGTTAATGATATAGACAGCAGCTGTGATGCATTCACCCCAAAATCTAGAAGGCAAATGACCTTGAAATCAAATAGCCTTGGCAGTTTCAAGGATATGCCTATGCTTCCTTTCCACCACTCCATTTTGTTGTGGAGTGTGTGGGCAGGAACTTTGATGAACAATACCATGATGATCAAATAACTCCTTACATTGAGTATTAAAATATTCTACCCCATTATCATATCTAAGTACCTTCACTTGCCTTCCAAATTGAGTTTTTATCAAAGTCAGAAAACTTTTAAGTAATGTGCAAACATCAGATTTAAGGTGCATCGAGAATGTCCAAGTCCATCTAGAATGATCATCAACTAAAGTGATAAAATATCTCATATTATTATGAGTAGCAACTTTGTATGGTCCCCAAACATCCATATGGATCTAATCAAAACAATGAGAAGCTCTAGTGTCACTATTAGGAAAATAAAGTCTAACTTGTCTTGCCAATGGACATATATCAAAATGTTGTAAAGAAAATGCTTGTTTATTCTTTACTATGTCTAATTTCCTAATCGCAGACATGGGTGCATGACCCATCCTCTTGTGTCACAACTCAGTTGTTTCCTTGCATTCTGCTACATTCAGAGACTTTATTCTTGCAGATTCCTCCTTAATCTTAGTGTTCAGTGTGTACAAACCATCTTATTCATCACCAATCTCCTTCATTTTCCCATTGAAGAGGTCCTGAATGCTGAAGAAATCAGGGAAAAATGAAACACAACATTGTAACTCTTTTGTCAACCTAGCTACAGATAACAAATTGAACTGGAACTCACGCACACATAATACATCAGTAATCACATCACCTCCTTCTAATTGACATTTCCTAGAGTGAGTTATCATAGTTGACTCACCTGTGGGTACTTGAACCTTCTGTGTTCTAGTAACTGTTAATCCAGTATTAAAGAATAAGTTGTCATTCACCATATGGTTTGTGGCTCCACTGTCAACTATCCATTGTGAATGTGTAGGATGTGTATGGATTAAACTAGAAGAGCTAGCAAGTATACTTGTCATGTTTGCATTTGCAGAAGTCTCATTCAATTGAGGTTTGTTTAACAACCTCAGAATTTGATTGTATTGATCCATTGTTAAGTGAGGTTGTTGGATATGGTGTGGGTGTGGAGT